AGCTCTCAAATTTAGATATTCATTGTCTTCTGGCTCAACACCCATCTTCCTGCCCAATAGTGGACAGGTAAATGGAATTGCTCCAAACTCGAGTCTGTATCTAATCCTCTTTCAACCCCCCTCATCCCCCCCCCCACCAACATGGAATCCGTAAGTGATTCTTCCCGAGCTATGTTCACACTGAGTCAGCTTTGAGAAGGTGTTAATATGTCACCTCCTTCCACACTGCCCCAGGCCTGCATCTGCCCTAGTTGATATTTCTGTTTGCACTTTAGACACCCCACACACACCCCCAGTCCCATACACAACAGCCCAGGGACCGGTTCATTCTGGTAGGGCTCAGACTAGCAGCTGCCTCTACCCAAAACCCACCAACCCACCGAGCTCGCTCCAGGCGTCACTCAGAAAAGATCCAGTATCTTTCTCTGACCTGTTAGTGCTGTGCGTAGTTTCCGAGAGTCCGCCCCCTGCTGGCCAGTTGGACATCCAGCATCACTGCGAGTCCGCCCCCTGCTGGCCAGTTGGACATCCAGCATCACCGCCCTTCTCCCTCGCTACAATCCAACCAGACACCCCACGGGCAGCTGAGCCACCAGGCCTGAGCTCCCGTGGTTTTTGTGAACTTTCCTTTAGCCGAGCTGTCTCTTCTCTGCTCAGGTCTCCACACAAATATGGCTTGTGTGTGGGGGGCTTCCTCTTCTCTGCCTGTCTGAAATAGCCTCTTTTCCACCTTAAATCCTCATTCTGGGCCTTACCTAGCCTCATGTACCTATTATAATTAGACATTTTTTTCGTTTTTTTTCCTTCAAAGAGAGCACTCCTCCACCCTTCGTTGCTTATTGTAGCCTCAGTTACACACGCAGACAACTCACTGTCAGTAATCTTTTTCCAAAAGATAACACATTCTGCATCCAGTCGCGGATAGGAAGTCTGTTTCATAAGGGAAAAACGATATTGCTTTTATCAATTTAAAACATTTAATAGTTCTCAAAAATATAGTTCCATAAACCAAATGAGCATCTGGGGAGGGTGCTTCCTATATCATACTTTGTTACCACACAGCTGGCGTCGTGTTAACAGGCAGCTCTGTGTCCTGTTCAGACGCTCCTTGTATTTGTAGAACGCCTCAGTTACTTCGGTTCATTCTCCAGTTTTCTCCATCTCTTTCTCACTTTTGCAGGAGTGTGGGGATGCACATAGGTGTTAGGGGGAAATAAAAGCTCTATTGCAATAGGCTCTGTGGAAACATGCACGGTGTATGTCAGTGCTAGCCGAGGTTAGCCCACGTGGAACAGGCAGTGCTAGATGAGGGTAGCCCACATGAAACAGGCAGTGTTAGCAAAGAGTAACCATAGGTAGCAGGTAATGCTAGCAGAGGATAGCCCAAATGAAATTCGAAGTGCTAGCTGAAGGTAGCCCACATAGAACAGGCAGTGCTAGCTGAGGGTAGCCCACATGGAACAGGCAATTCTAGTAGAGGGTAGCCCACATGGAACAGGCAATGCTAGCAGAGAGTAACTCACACAGAGCATGAGGCATTCATAAACATTAACCGGAAATACAGTGTGTTGAAAGCTATTCCAGTCAGTAAGGATTACACAATTAAAAACCAAGAGAGTGGGCTGGGGCAAGGACTCAGTGGTTCTGAGCACTGGCTACCCTTCCAGAGGACCTAGGTTGAATGCCTAGCTCACATGACTGCCCACAACCACTTGTACCTCCAGCTCCAGGAGATCTGAGGCCCTCTCCTGGCCTCCATGGGCACCAAGCACGCACATGGTACTCGGACATACACGCAGACAGAATGCTCATATACGGGAAACTTCTAAAATGTAATTTTTTTAAAAAAGAGACTTCACATCCTTTTATTTTAGGGAAGATGTATGTGTCCCTGAATGCTTGCTGTGCAGAGGTTTTTGTTGTAGCGATCCCATGGAAGAATGCCTGTGTGCTTGCTCACTGTGTGCAGATTTTTATTATGGAGATCTCATTAAAGATTTAGTGGAAGGTAAGTTTATAAAATAACACCTGGCACAGTGAAAAACATTCCTGCCAGACCTGTCTCTTCCCCAGTGTTGGTCTGTGTCTGTGTGTGTGTACATGTTCCTTTAACATGCTCTGGTTTAAGATTCTACTGTTCTGGAAAACAATAAAACCATGAAGACTCATAAAATTAAGATTACTGGCATGGAAAATGTAGTTGATATTTATGAACAGAAAAATCATCTTTTTGTCCTGTTCTGGGGATAGAATTTAGGGCCACACCCATACTAGGCAAACCCTTTACCACTGAGCCCAGCCCCAAATGCAATTTTTCTAACTGTTCACTACCAGGGTACACATTTCATCTCCAGAAGGCCTTAAAAATTCCAGCAAGAGTGCTGTGTTAACATAAACACCAAACAGGACCACAGTGAGAAGGCTCAACGGCCTCCCTCGCCTATAGTGCCGGTAAAAACTCCAGATCTTTAAGTCTATAACCGGAAGGAGATTGCATTTGTCAGACAGCTAGACAGAAGTGAACATGGGAAAGACAGATGTTAACAGTGGGCTCTCACCTAGGGAGCTGAGGCCGGTCAGGATGATGTTGAGGTATTTTAAAGGAAGACTAGGAAGAAAAAGAAAAAGGAAGTAGAAACGTCAAAGGGCCACAAGAGAGGCCTGAGCGGGTGTGGCTGAAGCTTACCTGGTCTTGCCAGCAGCAGTGAGTTAATCCATCCCAACAGACTGAGAAACAGGGCTGCGTCTTCAGAGGTGGGCTGGAACCATGTGGAGTTCTTTGAGCAGCCTTGAGTTTTCTCAGCCTCAGACCTTGAGATCTTCCACACTGACATTGCATTCTGCAAGGTTGAGGCCCAGCACCGTAAAGGGCTCAGAGATGCCTGGCAAGGGTTTGGTTGAGGTGGGTCTTCATCAGATCTTGCCCAGGGATGTCTGTGTAGTTCTGGGTTTCGCCACTCACCTCTCACCGTGCCTCAATTTCCCCTCCCACAGAAACTCCATCCCACCCCTCTTCTAGGGCTCACAGAGCCCAGTGTTGGCTCATCTCCACGTGCGCTTTCAGCCTCAGGCTGCCCCGTGTGTACCAGCCACGCACGTCTGCTTCCATTTTTGCTTTGGAGTTGTTTTCCCAGATCTCCCTGCACAGGCCGTGTCTCCCCCAGAGTTTCTTGAATCATTTCCTCGGCCGGATCTGGAGTGTGTTTGTGTGTGCTCGGTGTGCCCGTGGAAGTCAAAGGTCAACAGTGCGTGTCTTGCTTAGTGACTCTTCGCCTCTCAACCTGGCGCTCATCCATTTAGTTAGCGTGGCCGGCCAGTGACCTCCAGGGATCCACCCATCTCTACCACCCTTTGCCGGGAGTACAGACGTGCGCCGTGCGCTGATTGACGTTTACGCACGACGGCGAGCCGAGTCGTTTACCTGCTGAGCCATCTCTCCAGCCCAGAGATCTCTTTGTAACTGCATAAGTGCCTCTCCTCAGGAACACGCTCTCTAACTGACTTTCTCAGCATAATACTTCTCGCCCACTTTGTTTCTTTCATAGAAAAAGTTTGACCACTAGAAATTGTTGGTTATATGTATGTGTCTATGTGTGTGTGTGTCCCCCCCAACCCCCCACCCCGCGCCCGCACCAGAATATCACATTGAATCTTCCTCACAACTGAATGCTCATCACCTAGGGTAGGACTTAGCACGTTGCAGGGACCCTGTAAACGTGTTTAGGACAGAGTCCATTCGTTGAAATAATTTACACCAAAACCTTAGAGATTTGATTGCCAAAATATGAAGCGATAAAGCTGCTACATTGGTTAATAACTTGTATTGATTGTAAATCTGTCATCCTTGTATAAACTTGGGGACAGGGAAACATGGAGATAGGGTCTCACATTAGAGTCCAGGATCACAGTCTTTGGCTCTGCCTCCAACTTGCTGAGACCATAGGGTGTGCCACCGTGTGTGTCTTGTATAGCTAACCTTTTTTAAATTTTTATTATGGCAGAATGTATGTGACTTAAATTGACCATTCTAACAGGTTTTGAGAACACAGTTCAGGGGTATAAAGTATGTTTGGTTTGCTGTCCTGGACGGCCATCCCAACCAGCCATCTCTAGAACTTTCTCACCTTCCTGAACTGAAATTCTGTACCTATTCAGAACCGATCCCTCTCCTCCCCTCCCCCACTCAGCCTTCCGCAACCGTTGTCCTACATCCTAAGGGTTAGACACCTGTAGATGCTTGTTACCAGTGAGATCACATGAGGTTTGTTCTTTTGCGGCAGAAATGTCTTATTTAGCATAGCGTCTTTCAGATCGTCCATGTTGTGTGTAGAATGTGTCAGAATTCTCTTCCTTTTGAAGTTAGATAATTCTTTACAGTAGATAGATACATAGATGATAGATAGATAGATAGATAGATAGATAGATAGTGATTGGTAGATAGAAAGGTTGATAGGTAAATAGGTAGATGACACTCTTCCATTCATGCCTGATGGACACGAGTTTTTCAGCCCTCCAGGTCTTGTGAATAACACCTCTGTAAATACAGCACACACACACACATACACACACACATATACACACACTTATTTCCATCCTTGTTTTACGTTCTTGTGGGTGTGTGTTCAGAAGCAGAACTGCTGGCTTACCCTGTGATTTTTCCCTTTTTTTGGTTTTTGGAGGAACCGCTGCCCTGTTCTTTACAGCAGCTGCCTCATGACTCCGGCCAGCAGTTGTACAAGGTTTTAGTGGTGGTCATTTTTCCTGGTAGTAGATGTTAATTAGAAAGTGCTTCGTGGTCAATTTATACTGGAAATGTTCTCCGAACTTTGTTACCTTTTTGGGCCTCTTGAATGTTTTTTTAGAGAAATGTCAAGTTTGGTCCATTTGCCCTATTTTTTAAGATCAAGTTGTTGTTTTTATTTTGTTGAACATTTGAATAGTTGACCGAATAGATAACTACACGTAAGGATATCTAAAGATGCCTTCTCCCTCCTTCTCAGGGGCACAAAGTACCATTTGCTGGCTCATACCACCCTGACCTTGGAAAATGCTGGAGACTGCTTCAAGACCCATAACCTGTCCATCCACGGAGACGGTGAGTGCTCTGTGTACCATTTATTGTGTGTATTAGGTAAGCACATGTAGTGACGGGAATTCCTAATCTTAGCATGTTCCCCTGGAGGAGATGTTGGCTTGAAAACTATACTCATGGATGAGTCTCTTCCCTCTTCCCTACAGGAGAAAAATTAGGTTTTCCCCCCTCTTCTAAATCTGACTTACAGTAGAAAGAACTGAAGTCTTCTGTATCATCTGCCGCTCAGATATGATGTTTCCCTACACTGCTAGCTGGAACGTCAGATGTGTCTGGGTTTAAAGTTACTGATCAAGGCAGCCGCCCCTTTCTGATAGAAAGCAGAGGGTATGAAGGAAGTAGGGTTATGTTAATTTTAATCACTTTCTTTCTGAATAATAGTAGTAGTTTCTCTCTTTCCCCCCCCCCCCCCCCCCGAGAAGAAATCTATAGCAATGTGTCTAAGAAGCTTAGGTGGCATGGAAGGTAATGTTGGACAAGGAGCTCAGCTGTAGGAACTGAGTTACACACACACACTGGTTTCCAGGGGGAAATGTATGGAGTGTGCGCATGCTGATGGCCACTGTTCCATGCTTAATGTTATAAAGCCCAGAGGCCCCAGTGCTAACAGGATGGGTTATTTCATGGTGACTTTTCCATGTGGTCTTTAATTTCTCAAACCTTATTTTTAATGATGGTTCTTCAACGCTTTCAACTCCCTTCTAGCCCACTGTCCACCAGAGGTAGTGGAAAAGAAAGGTTATTAGGATACGGGGGAAGTGGACCTGTTTAGAAATGGTTCTTTGGAGCAAATCCCATCTGCGTTGTCAGGAAGTCAGCAGTTCAGTTCACAGGTCAGCAGTGGTAGCTCGATCCACTCGCAAACATTTTATGGATCGACCAGCAGTCCAGTTCAGTAATGTCGGGATAGCAGCAGCGGTGGCATGACCTTGCAGGAACAGCCAGGCCTCAGTGGGAGGGACCACCTTCTCCCAGCAGGAGAGAAGGTCTTTGCCTCTCTCAACGAAGCAAAGACCAACAAAGGCATCAGACAGAGAAGAATTGTCATAAAGTTAGCTCCGTAAGCAAGCCCCTCTCATAGTCTGTTGAGACCTATTTATACTCCCTCCAAACATTGCGTGTCCTCCGCGGGTCTTGCCTCAGTACATGAGTCTGTTAGCAAAACTCTGTGAGTCTGTATCACCTGACATCACTCTGCCAGTCAACCCAAGTCCGAGGACGCGGCAAGAAGCAATACCACACCACCAGAAATTTTTTGGTGTTTCTCTCTGTGGTGTCCCAATGAATAGAGCTCAACAACGCAATGTAAGGTGGACCAATACGTGTGTGCATATGTGCGCGTGCGTGTGCGTATGCGTGCGTGTGCGTGTGCGTGTGCGTGCGTGTGTGTGTGTGTGTGTGTGTGTGTATTGTTAACGAAGAATCCTTCATCACGTGTCCTTTCACGTGCTTGCTTTAGCAGAACATCCTTTCACCTGTGTCCGCTTCAGGAAAATACTCCTTCACGTGTTTGCCCCAGGAAAACACCATCCGATATAACTGACTGTCCAAAGAACCCTTAAGTTTCCACTTCGTATAAGAAATTTTACTACAAACAGAAGGAAGGTGGTGGGCTGTAAAACACGTGAGCATTTAATGAGCATATATAGCTACTACTCGCTGGTACCAGGCCCCCTCAGGACTCTGGGTGTAGATGTCCCAGCTTCCGTGACATTCACTTCCCTGTTGGTCTCTCACAGTTCGTCCTTCCCAGAATGCCATGGTTTGAACTGTGTGGGGATGGAGGTGTTAAACTGTCTTTAGTGGCGAGCCTTTGCTCTTCCTGCTGCACTGCTACCCTGCATTGTTTTTTTCTCTCTCTCTCTGCTTTCCTGTGTCTTGAGTCTGGTCCAGAAAGCATCTTCGTAGGTCTGCATGGACTCGGGCTGAGTGCGAGCTTTATAACCTGGGAATGCCCCCTCGCTGTCTTATGTCACACTGACCCTGCGGTATTGTCTGCCCCCAGTCTGTTTCTGCCACAGACTTCTTTTCCTCTTGGTTTTAATACTCATCCCCAAAACAGGCCCAGCAGCCTTGCCCCACTAGCATGTGAACTATTTGTTAGAAATAATGGTGGATTTGCATAGTCTCTGTGGCAGGAAGTGTGAACAAATCGAGTTTTGTGTTCCAGTTTTCATGGTTGTTCTGTTTTGCTTTGTATGATTTCAGCCTGTTATTTAGTGCACATAATTTTTAAGTAGTGTCTTTATTGTTGGTTATATATATGTTCACATTTATATATTATTTGTTATATTTATATATATTGCACATACACACACACATACACACACACATATATATGTATATATATGTATATATATACATATATATATACGCATATATATACGTATATACACACACACACACACACACATATATATATATGTGAAATAGGCCTGTTACTTTTAGCAAGGGATAATTACTTTTATCATTTGAATTTCCCTCTGTTGGTAAAACGATGCATTATGTTGTAATACCTTAGAAATTACTCTTAAATTGTAATCGCTAAAATAAGCAGTAAGAGATTGTTTTCACCTTTTCTAAGACATCATGAAGACTTTAGAACGGTTAGACTGTGTTTCCCTAATCTGTGCATTCTTACTATAGAATATAATCCCGTTTTTTTTTTTTTAGATTTCACAGGGTGCTTTGAGCCTGACCTAGCCTTGCCCCCACGTTCTAAATGTTCGTAGGGGACAACTTGACTTCTAAATCTTAAACTTGGGATTCCATTTTTTTTTTTCTGAAAACAATCCTTAGAGCTTCTGTTTGAAAGGTTTTTTTGGTGGGGGTAGGAGGAGGGGGTCCTGGGACTTTGAAAGGCATTTTCATGGTATATACTTGGTACTTCTATTTTCTGTCCATCCTATCCTTGTGTGTCCCTTGGTTCAGAAGGAATGATTAAGTATTTTAAGATGTGTTGGGTACAAGGGTTGAGAATGGTCATGAGACACGGACAGAGTGACTAGGACAGTGAGGCTGCCCTGGGGATGTGACCAGAGAGGGAGCTGGCAGATGCCAGGCGCATGGACGATGCCATACACAGATTGTGTCCATAGGAACTCTGCCTAAGACAGGTGGTGTTTTATAAGTGTAGAGGTTGATACTCAGGTTAAGTGTGTCCTAGAGGCCGTCTTTCTTGAGAGAAGCACAGAGAAGCTGTGGCTATTTTATTCCTCAGTAGTCTGAGGCTGCAAGAAAGCCCAGGTGAGAGGCAGCAGGTGGAGGCAGAGTAAATGACAACTGCTCCGTGGAGCTAGGGACCCAGCATCTCTCAAGGATGCTGCTATACCTGCCCTCAAGAATATGACAGGAAGGGATTCTACATCTTCTCAAGGGTGATGCAAGAAGCAATCCAACATCTTCATTCAGGGATGCTGCGGGCGGGGATTCCACATCCAGCATCCTCTCTCAAGGATGATGTTGCAGGAGAGGATTCTGCATCCAGCATCCCCTCTCAAGGATGGTGTTGCAGGAGAGGATTCTCTATCCAATATCTCCATTCAAGGATGATACAGGAAGGAAGATTTTTTTTCCCTTCCTTACATGAAATCTGAGCTCACTTTATGAGATACACATTATTGGATATGCTGTGTTAGGTTCAGATACATTATTGATTGCGTAAACTTTATGGACTTGCCTGTGAATCTAATCATTTGTGATTCTGCGTCTTGGGGAATTACATTCTAACTTAAAAAAAATAAGCAACTCACAGATATTTACAACGTAAGCCATTCATAAATTTGGAGATTCCTGTATAAAAGAAATTTATATGTCACTCAGACGCTGGGCCATGGAGAGTTTTTATTTTGTTTAATGCTTGTGGTAGAAAAAGTGACTCTCACTTACTACTTTGTGCCTGTACTTTGGAATCACTGTGTGTTGTGTGTAGATGTGTGGATCCTACCAGGTCACCTTTACCAAGCCCTGGATAAAAAAAAAAAAAAAAAAAAACACATTCCATTAGTCCCAGAAAGTATAATGATGTCGTAGCCCATAGTAGACTGATGTATGGGGAAGTTGTTAAATCTCTCGTTTTATCTTATCTCTTTATTTAGGCTGGCTCCCTTTTTGACTGATAACAAAGCTTTGGTTATTTATATATCTGAGTGTATGTGTGGTATTCTGGTTAGTTTCTAGTATCATACTGACAGGCCTAGGAAGAACCCCTTCGAAGAATTTCCTCCATCCAGTTGGTCTGTGGGCATATCTGTGGAGTATTTTCTTGCTTGCTAATTGATAGAGGACAGCCTGGCCCACTGTGGGCGGAACCATCCCTAGGCAGGTAGGTCTGGGCTGTATAAGAATCTTAGCTGAGCAGAAGCCAGAGAGCAGGCTGGTAATTAGCATTCCTCCAGGTTCCTGCCTTGAGTTCCCTCCTCTGACTTCCCTCAATGATGGACTATTATCTGGAGGTGTAAGCTGAACGGAACCTCTTCTCTCTGAATTGCTTTTGGTCACCGCATTCATCCCAGCAACAGAAAGCAAACTAGATTGCAAAGGAACTGTATTTTTTTTTTTTTTACCCAAAACCAGCATCACTAAGGCTTTAAGTAAATAACAATTACAGCCAACTAGCCAGCTATTAGGATGCAGTGACCATTCAAAAAAATCTTTTCTACGTGGGACAGCCTGAGGTGAGGGCATGTACTGGGTATTTGTGTGCACCCTATACACAGATTACATTTTCCGGTGCTTTCCTTCTATACGGGTAGGAGAGATCATACCTACTGCTGTTCTGCCTCAGCGGAATGGCAACATGTTGGGTGGGGTTTTTTTGTTTGGTTTTTGTTTGTTGTTTGAGTGTTTTTTGTTTTTTTGTGGGTTTTTTAAAGAATTTTTGAAAATTATCTCCAGTTTACAGAAAACTTCCAAGTTTATTGCCAAGGTCTTCCCTACACACACACACACACACACACTACACACACACTATTCTAAGTTGCTTACAGCACGTTTCACAAACCCCAGGAACCTTAACATCTATTAAGTACCGTTGACCCCCACCTCCCAACTCAGCAAGCCAAACCCTTTCTAATGTAGACTCATGCTTCCCATCCTGTTCCAGCTCCATTGAAAGGACGCAGGCCCCAGCATCCATTCCTAAGTCTCACTCTTGACTCTCACAAACTTGGCATCTTTAGGGAGAATTTCTGGTGATTTGGTCGAAGGCCCTCCTTTGTGGTTGCCGGATGTTGGCCCGTTGTGTGACTTGAATATATCTCCATGGCCATGCCTCTGCCTATTGAGGGTTAAGGTGGCCACTGCCAAGTCTCTGACTGTTAGGGCTGTCTTCCGATTCCCTCGCTATGCACACGAATTCTGTGGCTGGAGCACCACAACCTGCCAATGTCCTTGTTCACTTTGAAGTTGCGCATGTTTTCGAGGTGGCAGCAGGGAGACATTCAAGAGGCTCGAGCCCTTTCAAGGCCCCTCTGGAGCACTTCCTTGCCTCCCTGGAATACTAAGACGTTCCAGCCCATTGTGCTCATCCCTGATAGGGGGAGGGGAACCCTGGTTTCTGCTCCTTTTTCTTAGTGCACTGGTGAATCGCCATGTCATGGTGTCTTCTCATTGCTCTCAGGGTCTGGGGCCGCCCAGCCAACATGGCCACTCTTTTTTCTTTTCCTCTGCTTGGTTGTGACTCATTCACAGTAGGCCTTCTCTCCAGGCCTGCACACCCTGCTCATTCTACTCTTTCTAGGCTAGACAGCTGCTTCGGAAGCTTTGCCTTGGTGTGAACACCCCCTGGCTGGCTCACTGAAGCTCTGACGCCTTGTACTGGTAGTCCTCCTCTCCTTCTTCTCCCTCTTCCTCTCCCCACTCTCCTTCCTCCTTTCCTTCTGCTCCCCACTCCTCCCTCCTCTTCCCACTCTCCCTCCTCCTCTCCCCATTCTCCCTCCTCCTCTCCCCCTCTCCTCTCCCCACTCTCCTTCCTTCTCTCCCCACTCTTCCTCCTCCTCTCCCTACTCCCCTCTCCTCTCTCCACTCTCCCTCCTCCCCATTCTCCCTCCTCCTCTCCCCCTCTCCTCTCCCCACTCCCCCTCTCCTCTCCCTTCTCTCCACTCTCCCTACTCCTCTCCCCATTCTCCCTCCTCCTCTCCCCCTCTCCTCTTTCCACTCTCCCTCCTCTTCTCTCACTCTCTCTCTTCCTTCCCTTCCTCTTCTCCCCATTGTCCCTCCCCTCTCCTGCCTCTTCCTTCTCTCCCTCTTCCTCTCCCCACTCTCCTCCTCTCCCCACTCCTCGTCCTCCCTCCCCTCCTCCTATCTCTTGCTTGATGTCATCACTCAGTGTAATCCTCACGGTTTCTTCCCTACTCTTTCAGGGGCTCACCCTCGAGGCTGCCCCTCATAGCTCCTGAGTTCTTGTTCAACCGAAGGGGAAGAAGTAGGGCAAAGGTGTTCAAGTGTCTTAACACGGTTAAATAATATTCCACTTAGAGGCTCACCTTACTAATTATTGTAATAAAAACCAGAGCAAGAAGGGAAATCTGGTGACCACAAATCACCTTAGTAGACTACTTTATATGAAACGCTGAGCAATCCCCTTGAATAATTACTTCTGAAGTCAAGAGTCTAAAGGCCGCCTCTCTTCCAATTGACCACAGTGTTGGTCTGGGCCCACTCTGACCTCTCTCGAATGCTTGTGTACGTCATTAGCATTCAGGTAGATGAACCTGTATGTAAGATGAATGTTAAAATATGTTCACAAGCCAGGCAGTGGTGGCGTGTGCCTTTAATCCCAGCACTTGAGAGGTAGAGGCAGGTGGATTTCTGAGTTCGAGGCCAGCCTGGTCTACAGAGAGAGTTCCAGGACAGCCAGGGCTATACAGAGAAACCCTGTCTCGAAAAACCCTGTCTCGAAAAACCAAAATAAATAAATAAATGAATATATATATATATATATATATATATATATATATTCACAAATAAAGCAAAAATAAATAAAGAAAGAAAGAAAAAGAAAAATTCTGGAATGTGTAACAACCTTAAACGTATATTTATAACTTCCATTTTCCCCCCTTTCTTCTTTAAACAGAGGAGTGTTCCTTTTGGCTTCCCTTGTATGGCAACCTGTGCTGCCGGCTGGTGGCCCAGCCAGCTTGCATGGCTGAAGATGCGTTTGCTGGATTCCTCAATGAACAGGTAGAACACATTGCATGTGTCAATCGGACTCTCACTATGCAGGCGTTTGCTCAAGAGGCCTTTCTGGAAGTGTTAATTTTTTTTTTTTTTTAAATATTGCCAGACACGAGGGGGGCGTGGCTATGACATGTGAGGGCGTGGCTATGGTGAGGGAGAGGGTCTGGGTGTCTGTGGGGTTGCCTCTCTAGTTCTCTCTGGTTCCCCATCCCACGGGCACAGGATCGTGGTCACGGTTCTCTTATAGAAACTGACCCCGGCTGTCCAGCGCCTTTCACAGAAAGGCTCTTCTGGCAGACAGCGTTTGGCACAGTTTGAGCCTCTGGGGCTTCCAAAGCTGCCTCTGTGCCACCTCCTCCTGATTTATTCATAGCCGTGGTTATTTATATTCAGTAAATAATTAATTGTGGGCTTCAATGAATCAATAGTTTTTTTTTTCCTAAAAGATTCCATTAGAAGGAAAGAAAATCTGCATTCTTACCAGGTAGTCAACATCTTCTAACGTTCTGGGGGGAAAAAAATGAAGGGAAATTATTTTCAGTGTAGAGAGAGTTATTTTTATAATTTCCCCGAGTCTTTTGATGAATTGCAGTGGAACTCTAAGCACTAGAGTCTAATAGACTACCTCTCCCAAATCTGGGTTGATTTATGATTTTCTGTGTGTAAAATTGTATGGTAATAATTACCTTCATTTTCCTTAATGCTTCTGAGAATTCCAGGCGCCTTCTCCACTCTTGGGTTTGAGGTGCTCAGACTCAACTGTACAGCCGACGCATAGCTAATTCCATCCTATTTTTAAAGTTCTAAAACCTTAACTGATTACGTAAATACCGAGGTGGGTTTAGAGTTAAGGTAGTAGTGACTTAAATTGATAATTGATAGTTGTTTGACTTCTTTTTTGTGTGTGTGTCCAGCAAACAGGAAAAGGTCTGGTTGGCTGGAGAAGGCTGTACTGTGCTCTGAGAGGGGGTAAACTCCGCTGTTTTTACGGTCCAGAAGAAATCGAAGCTAAAGTGGACCCGACTCTGGTAGTTCCTATTGACAAGGTGAGTGGCATGCAGTTCCAGGGTGAGCACTGAGCCGTAGCCCCAGCCCTTTGAGACGCTGTATTAAAAAGGACATTGTGGCCCTTGAAGTTTATGTTCACGTATGTTCTTGACATCCTTGACGTCATAAAGAAAAGGAGCCAGGGGCTGCGGAGACGGGTTATTATCTGAGTGTCCTCCTTCTCTGCACGGAGCGGCTATTGATGGCAGGAGTCACCATCTAGTCCCTAAGAATACGTAACAACGGATGAAAGTGGATGCTAACAGACAGATCTTAAAGCCTAGAGTATGACCACGCCTCATGAGATATTTGTGGGAGCTGGAGACTTGGCGCATTGGTTAAGATGGTTTCCTGCTCTTGCAGAGGACCCGAAATCCGTTCCCAGCACCCACGTCATGCCACTAAAGTGATTTAACTCCAACGCCAGCGGACCCGATACCCTCTTCTGGCTTCTGAGGGCATGTGCATACACATGACATACACACTCACAGAGATCACGAGTTTAAGGGATGCTATAAACATAAATCGTCAGCCCAGGCTATGACGATGTTCTTTCTTGTTAATATTCAAAGGAGTTCTTTAAAAGACCTCCTTCCTCGTGGGGTGAATGGGCCCTTGACCAAACAAACCTCTGCCAGCACAGGAAAGCCTGGCCCTGCACTTAGAACATGCGAGGGCACAGGCTGCACCTAGACCATCCCACCCGAGAGTCCGCCAAGGGTCTTTATCCGGGTTTGACTCAAGAAAGCAGAAGTTAACAAGCTTTTCACGTAAAATTCTGTAGGGAAGTGAGTGCGTCTGCCCAGGGCGGACCTGAGTTTCTCTTAGGACAGTCTTGATTTTGCCTCTTTTGCTAAGTCTAATGTGTATTACATCTCGCCCGCCGCTGTCAGAATCCTTCCCAAAATACTTGCAAGATGATGTTTCTGGAGCCAAATCCTAATTGTTTTTTTAGCTATTTCCTGTGGAGAGGTCTATCTGGACCACGTGATTGGATAGGAAGCAGCGCATCCTTTAGCAGTATGCGTTCTACCCTTCTACTCTGAAGAGTGACGTAAAGTCACGTGTGATTTTACGTAAAAGTCATACTCCAGAAAACATGGGACCCATGTTTTTTTTTTCTGATCTGTCTGGACTTGAACTTAGTTCTGCCATCTTTTCCAGCAATACTTTTATCTATCTCATTTTTACAATTTTTTTTTTCTCCTTACCCAAAGGAAATTCTGTAGTAAGACTTTTTAATCTCGAAGTTTAAGTCCACTTAACTTAATGTTTTTATTTTCAGGTTCATCAAGATAAAGTTTTAATTAAAAAAAGTTTAGAGTTATTCTTTAAACATATAACTAAATAATATCTCCATATTAAAATATAATGAATTTATCTTGGTTTAGAAAAATGGGTTTATGGAATATGTAATTTTATTAATGAAAAATCCATATACTTTCTCATTGTTTGCCAACTTCGTATTTTGTTTTGTTCAGGTTGAAATTTCTTTAGTCTCTTACTACTTTGAAAAATTCAAGTGTACAAAAAGGTTGAAATGAAAAGCCAGCCACCCACGAGCAGATAGGACTTCCCCTGAGTCTGCCCATCCAGCCTTCTGCTGCTGTTAATGGCTTTCTTGCTCCTGGTTATTTCTGTTTCTGGGTCATTTGAAAATCAGTTGCAAACAGCACGTTTCTACTAACAGGAAGGATACTTTGTATATAACTGTAACATTATCACCTACAGGAAGTTTGTTTCTGACACAGTATTACTGCATCGAGAGGGATTGCCCCTGCATCCCTAACAACCGCTAACTTCCCTTGATTGATTGCTTTGTTCCAAGACCCCCTAGGCACTCAAGTTCTTTGTTTCTATTACCTAACCATGCCCCAGCCTGCCTTTGTTTTCCTTTGGTGACACTGACATGTTTCAGGTCATGTCTGAGGGGGAAGTGTGGGTGACGGATTGGTTCATCATATTCAGATCAAGTATTTCTTTGACTAGAAATGAACTGGGTATGATTACTTGGCTAGGTTGGTTTATATTCAATAGTTGGGTGGTAAAACTGGAAACCTGCCCAAGTTTCCTTTCATTTTGTACCACAGAATGTGGAGGCGTAAACTAAGATAAAATGTAGCCTAAACAAATGGTAGGCTTTAAAATTTCAGTGTGTATGGGGGAGGGGACAGTATATGAGTACCCACACACACATACTTGAACATGTGCACCCATGTTTGTTCAGGTGTGTGCCCCTGAAAAATGCAAACACGTCGCTGACACAGTAGGCTCTAGCAAATGTGATGACTAGGAAATATCATCCTTGGGGCTGGAGTTCCAGGCATTTACAGGACACACAGCTGTGAAACATGGCTGGAGTCCTGTTCTCGTGACTGTATGCTAAGCATTCTCCTGATGCTGAACCGTCCTCCTAGCTCCAGAAACTTGGGGCTTTCAAACTCATTTGCTTTATTCTAGAAAAGATATTATACTGGTCAGCTCACCTCATTTCAGCGATATGGTAGGGCTGGTATTCTCCCATTTCCAGTGTATAATTTCCGTTTGACAAGCAAAGCAGTGGACATTGCCATTGGGTTAAACTTGTCAAACTAGCCAGGAATAGGAGGTGACTCACTCTTTTCCAAGAAGGTAGGAAAAGATAAAATCATTGAGCTGGGTTTTTTTTTCTTTATAATTAATTTTATTTCTTGATAGATATGCTGCTGAATAGGTTTGGAAGGCAGAACTAATCTTTTCCTTTCTCTTTACCCATTCTGAATGGGATTTCAAAGTGTTGCCATTTAAATACTAGACATTGGTCACTTCAGTACATTCATACTGGGACTTGATTCTCTGAAGGCGCTCTCCTTTGCAGCCCTCCCCCTCCCTCTGTTGAGCTCTCCCCCTCCCTCTGCTGAGCCCTCCCCCTCCCTCTGCCGAGCCCTCCCTCTCCCTCTACTGAGCCCTGCCCCTTTCCCCTCTGCTGAGCCCTCTCCCTCCCCCCTGCCGAGCCCTCCCCCTCCCTCTGCTGAGCCCTCCCATGCACCTCACAACTTTCCATTCACAGTAAGCCTCATCAGTCTAAGTATTCCGATCTGCCACACCGTCCCAGGCATATTGTCACTCCCTAAAACATTATGGTTACAACGTTGCTTATTCCGTTTTCCTCAGTTCCGAAAGTGAGTCAGATATGTAGAAAAGCCGGAAAAAACACAGTAATCAGCCTCCTCGGGCCAGCGCCTAGATTCCACAGGCCCGCGGTGTTTCTCTGCCTCTCTCCTGCTAACGCACATCCCTGAGGAACACAACTTGTGAAACAGCTATTTCACGCCTGTGTTGTAACAGCTGAGAAATGTAACAGTGCCGTCCAACATACATATAGTCCATCTTTAAATTACCCCTGCGTTGCCCAAAATATCTGCCTTGACTTGAGTTTTTAATGCAGGACTATCCCAATTAGCTTCCCTTCCCCAAGCAAGGTGTGAGCGTCTTGCTGGTGCCATGCTGGCCCGGGGACTGCAGGGTGGTTCCCCATAGACCAGCCATTTCTCTGCCACCTTCCCATTCTCTCTTACTGTGTAATAAACTCATACATTTTTATATCTGTCTAATTATTTGGTTTTAAAATACATAGTGGATTTTCTTGATGACCTTTTCTCATGATGTTCAAATAATAGTCTTTTTTTTTTTTTAAGGCCATGTGAGCAGCTAAGTTTGATAACCGCTAAGCTATGACATATCCGATACAATTCTCCGCTTGGATTGCAGGGAGAGAGGGGTCCGTTCTCTGCCTGTAATTCTTGTCTTGCTAAATGGCATTTCCTGTAAGGCCAAGCCGGTTCATTAATTTTCATAGGGAGCCATCTGTGGAAATGGTCATATTAAGAAAAACCTAAAAGCTATTCCCCATGTACTTTCAATCTAAATTTGAAAGGGTGATTTACTTCAGAGTGATTGCTTCAACTTCAAAAAAACTTCATTCTGAATGTTGTTTGGGTAAGACACTCAATGGCGGGTCCTTAACAACAGTCTCCGTGCACCCCGGAAAGCGCTTTATTAGCCGGAAGCTTTATCCGTGGCTGGTGGAGTGGGAAAGCAGCTAGAGTCTTCGAGATCAGCAATCCGTTTTGATTTACATACTAGACATCCGTTATTTCAATAATGGATCTGTGCCGAACCAATCAATAACTCTACTCGGTGTGATAGGTTTTATTGAATTGTCTCGAACATGCTTTTAACTATTATATTTATCAAGCTCATTTAGAAAGCCCAGTAACCACAGATCGCACGGCATGTTTTCCCATTCATGGTAGTCATTTTGATATCAGAAGCCTGTCAGCTACACAGTTGTCCTTTATTAAATATAGCTGCAACAACTGTTATTTACCAGCGCTTTCCTCTGGGCGTTTACGTCTGACAGACGCTATCGACAGAAATTTAAGGTAAGTATTTCCAACTGATATTGGCCGTGCCTGACGCTTGGCTTAATCGATGACTGCGCTATTACACAGTTCAGACATCCCCCTCCGTGGCCTGTGGGTGTGCGCATGCTCCGTCGCCAGACCCGTGTCCGCACTGAAGTCAGTTTTAAGCACCACCATGTTCATTCTGACTCAACTGGGTTTGAGACTTGTCTTTATGACGTACTGTGGGGAAGGAAGGAAATGTCGCCTGTATCACAGACAACTCAGAGGCAAGAAAGAGACCTTATACAACATATTTTATTTTTAAATTTTCAAGATAGTCAATGCAAAACAGTGTGATTGAGCATTCCGTTCTCCCATACAATCCTAAAGATTTTACTTGTGTTTCTCCCAGTTGTATAACGACAAAATATATATTATATACATGTAGTTAATATATTATAATGTTGATGATGTAGATAGTTGCCCCGGCCCGCGGGGATTCGACGAGACCCTAGGGAAAGGCGAAAGAATGAAGGGACAAGAGACACAAAGAATGCGAACAAGTCTGAGGTTCTGATCTAGCAGATTATAAAGACACAGCAAAATGGAAGATTTAGGTGAGGGTTATTGCTTAGGGCTATCCTACTATATCCTTATTGTCTAAGATCATTCAACTGTCGTATCCTTATTGCCCTAGACCATCCCATTGTTGGAACCAGCTCCCAGGAAATGTCAGACGTTCTTTAAGTTCCTGGGACCTGAGACCCATGAACGTCCTTTCTTAACTTTGAACTGACTAGGCTTTCTAGAACAGCAGGTAATTTCCTAGGTTTGGCTCCCGGCAGATAGTGCTTCCATTTCCCAGGAGAAGGGATTTCGTAACCATTTGGGTCTGATTCAGATCGAGAACCTTACTTGAGTTGGAGTTTTGAATGGTCTTTGTTGCTGTTTCCCCCCTCCCCTCCCCAACATACCGCCAACGTAGTTTATTTACTGGAGAAATTTGCCCTACAGAGTTTCCCATAATCTGAATTCCTCTGTTTGCATCTCTGAGCTTTTGGGATGGTGACTGAGGCTGATATAAGGAGTATATTTTGAAAACGCATGTCTGTATACAGAGGTGTAAAATCTGAGCCTGTGGCTCCTAACGGCAGCCATCTGTGGTGGCTTAAGGTCTTTTACTGCCAACTGCAAGCTGTCAACATCTTAGCATCCAGTCTTTACTGCTAGGTTATCTCTAAGGTACTTCTGGGAGGCAGCAGGATGAGCTGCGTGCATGTGTGCGTGCGTGTGTGTGTGTGTGAGTGCATGCATGCGTGTATGCGTGTGCATGTGTGTATTTGAGTATATGTGACCAAAACAACTAACATCCTTCAAAAGTAGCCATTTGAGATAGTTTGTAATTGTTATGTATTTAGAATTCAAGGGTTAGAATTCAATCTAACCCTCTCCTTTATTTTTCTTACTGAAGCTTCTGTTGTCCCAGAGACTAACAGAGTCCCTCGGGTGGTATTCTTGACAGGAATCTACAATCTTCAATTTCTGGTGGGACAGGAGACTTGAGAATCATTTTCTCCCATGGTGACCCAAGCGTTTTCCCCAGAGTGCTTTTTAGGAAAGGTGCTTAAAGATGACCATAATCTGGGTGCAGCAGTAGGCTTGTCTGGAGAGGGTGGAACACATTTTAATGCAAGGTGATAGAGGCCAAAAGGAACCATCCTTGTGACCTCAGAGTGTGTCTTTGCTGCAGAGGTGAGCTCTTACGGCCTTTCCAGGGAATCCTCCCATCCTACTCTGCAGCAGTGCACAGGGGCATTCTGAGGAGCCCTGTCAGAGCAAGCTCCCCATCACCATAATCCCAGGTCCATCACAAACCAGAAGAGCTGAGTTAAAAGCATCCTCGGAGAATGGAAGGACCGTGAATGCTTAGTGCTCTCAAACCAAACTTTGGATGGTGGAAAGGGTAAAGCAGGAATCGGGTCGCATCATCTGCATCTCTCTTGGAATGTCTGTGAAGGGTGCGCTTGGGCTACAGGCTGGCCCTGGACTCCACACTGGTGATGTACTTCACCTGTGGTTCTTCCCCGTCTCATTCTTTTCTTCAAAACCGGTGCAGCCACTTCCTGTGTGTTAGATACTAAGTGGTCCTTGAGATGGGACAAATGCCGTGCCTGGGTCATTTTCAAACTATTTGCTTTTGTGTCCTGTTTAGAGAGACATTTTGCTGTGAGTTTAGGATACTGGTTGCAAAATTTATCCTGCTCTTTTCTCATGACTTCATCTTTGGAGGAGGATGGAGGTGAGCCTGGTTTGATGTCACCAGTGCAACAAGCAGCTTAGGTGGACTTCAACACCGGACAAGCCACACTTGTGCTAATCTCTTTCTTTGACTGTTTAATTACAAATATCTCCCATTAGTTAAATTATCTGGGTGATAAAATGTAACTTAATCTAAACCCTGCATTTCATTTTCACTTGTTTAAAAAAAAAGCAAACAAGAAGTATCTGACATATGCCATTACTCGTGAGGCAGAGACAGGCAGATCTCCGACTTCATACCCAGCCTGGGCTACATAGTGAGTTCAGGCCAGCCAGATCTACATAGTGAGACCCTCTCTCAAAACAAACAAAAGCCCTACCTTGGGATGTTTAAAATCTGTAACAAATGCCTATGGGCACTGTAGTTAATAAAGGGTGTAATATTAATCTATATCGTTAACTTGGGATATAAATGGTCTGCTCCCTCAGTCTCTGTGTCAAGTCGCTTCATTAGAAACAATACTTTGTTGAATGCGTAAACACTGATGTGCAAAGGATCCCATCTTCTTTATTTAGAGTTGAATCTATTTAATCCCTTTACAAGAAAAATCAGAAATTTATGTCGACATGAAATTAAGTGGAAATAGTCAAAGGCTCAGAATATTTCTTTAACCCCCTCCCCAACTTGAATTCAACCTTCAGTTAGGATAAGAGAAGCATCCTGAAGATTTTTCTAGAGCTATATCACCCTCTGCTATTAACAATAAAACAGTGTTTTAAAAGAGATTGGTTGGTTGTTGGTGTTTGGTTGATTGCTTGTTGGTTGATTTGTTGGGCAGTTGATTGATTGGTTGGATGATTGGTTGTTGTTAGTTGTTTGGTGGTTGATTGGTTGGATGGTTAGTTGTTAGATAGTTGGTTAGTGGTTGATTGGTTAGGTAGTTGATTGGTTGTTGGTTGATTGGTTGGGTAGTTGATTGATTGGTTGTA